TTCATCCACCGTTACAAGTGGTGTTCCGTCAGGAACTTCCTCGGCACCCGTTCGAATGAAAAGCAGTGGTGGGGCAGGTGATATAGATCCACAGGTGAGCGATTCATTCACTTCCCTCACGTACATTCTATATGCTTCTTGCTTCGTTTGCTGTAGTTTTACTGAATTTGCCCGGATTGAGAGGAGGTACAGTTTCCTGTTGCTGGCTGCTTATTTGCTGATCTTTTAATTCAGTTATCAAACGTTCTGTTAATAATGTAATCACGAATTTTGTTTAGAGCACGTTATCACAGTGTTTGACGCAGCGACAGGTATCATCACCAACCACCGCGTCGCGGGCCTGTACGAGGTCAACCTAGACTGTGATGCTTGAGTCCGCCATAGCAAGCAACTCCTGCCAAAGCCGTAGTCCGATTGCAAATCGACCCCTCTGCAAAGACGTATACTCCAAAAAGGGGTGTGATAGGGGAAGCCCATTTTCCCTTCAGAGTTGACTTCCTTTCTTTATCCAATTTTATATTAATTTTCTGAAATCCAAGTTTCTCACTTGTCACTCCAAAAGAACCTCGTCATGCACCATCAGCCATGCTTTCATACGGCTGGAGGACCACACCACAAGCTACTTCATTTGCCCGAGCATCATATTTTCAACGGATATCTAGGAAAGTTGTTTTTGGTATCATTATCGTATATGGCCTTGTTTCCATGACACTCATACATTTTCCTTGTTTTTCACGTCCAACTTATTTTCGGGAGTACGAACCACAGCTGCTCGCAATGCTTGATTATTTTCTATGATGATAGCAAACATTCAGTGACTCAACCGTTCCTAAACTCCACGCGATTTTCACAAGCGCCTGCGGTCTTTTTCACTGGTTTTCGCACACACTTATTCGGTATACTGTTGAGTAAATCTTAAACTGCTTTTAATTCAGGAACTTCGTGGTTATCGTCGACTGAACGGTTACCAGTTGTTTGTTATGGTCAATAAGAAAAAACACGAATCGGCGCTGACCACAAATGTGGGTGATGATGCCGTGGACCCGGTCGATACACAGCGTGATTTACACCGGAAATGGCAGGTTAGTCGCTATTTTCGTCCATCCATCCATCCGTTCATCCATCTATCCACACAGGCATCTATTTCTTTTGACGATTCTCCCATCCACTGTACCACAGGCCATTTGGTTCACTCTTCCGGAGAAGACACGTAAGGAATGGAAGACGAAGGCTAGGCGTTTGATGAAGCAAACAGGTCAAATGCATCACTCGGGTTCACAATCCTCCCACGGGGGTAGGCGATCCGGCTGGTCCAAAGACCGTTTCAAGGCAGAGATACGGAAGATAGAAAATCAACTGGCCCGTTCTGATTCTGTCTCCACTACACTCTCCGAATATGCGGCATACTTCCAGTTGCTTTCTGATTCTTTTGCAACGGCTGCTCGCAACCTCAACACTTATGACGTAAGTTCTATGCCTTGATCGACAACTTCTATTTTCCATCTATACTACTCGCGTCATTTTGAGTAGGCTAAGCATTTTGCTGAAATCATAGAACCGTTTTTTAACAACCTTTTTCCTAATAAATTAACTGTTAGATAAGCCGCTGAATCTAAATCACTGATCTGGATCTACTCGGAAGAGTGGATCTGTATGCTACCTAGTGCGTCTCCAGGTCGCGGATAAGGGAATGACCGTCAATTCGCGGCCAACCGTAAGTTGGGGCGAAGCTCCCTGAATAAGCGATCTCGGACGATCACCGGAAGTGCTCGAGGATGTGTGGAGTTCACCACTTAGTATAGGTTCTCCCCAAAAATGTCACATACGCTTTTGACAGAGATATAAATTTGGCGAATTTGCTATGCCCCAAAATGTGGTCATTGTCTGTTGTCGAGTTCCTTTACTCCTTTACTTGCAGTGGTACCTCCGAGGAAAATCCTGTCTGTGTTCCTCGACGTCCTCCTTCAATTACCTTCAAGTTTCACCAAGTGTTCTTACTCCACCAACTGATGCTATTCTTTCTTCTCGATACCCCTTCAGACTGTCCACATTTAACTTGCGTGTGCGTTTAGTACAACGGGCGTGTTCGTGCCTTACTTTCGAGACCAACTCTCAGTGTGCGTTTCATCCAACAATCCAGCTCTATCGCCTGTTTGACGTGCCAATCCAATCAAACCACAAGTTTCAAAGGCGCCGTTCTTCAAATCTTCAAACTGAGGCTTCTAGTTTGGTTGATGTTGATGTGGCTCTCAGCGAGAGAGAGAGAGCTGAAGCCTTGCTGCTAGATCGGATTGTGCTCAGTGAAACTTACAGGTTCGTGTAAGTTAATCAGACTCCGCCACGATAGACGCTACTTCTTTTTTGTCTCGATTTCGGTACTCACGAACTGCATCTCAGATGCAGTCAAATTTATCCTTTACCAAAGACACACGGCTTCCTGCGTTAGACCAATGGGGCTTGCATCGTCATTTTGACAGGACGTACAAATACCAGGATAGGTCGGCTGTTTTCGAGCGAGGTTCTTTTGTGATAGATTCTTGTCGCTCGGAAGATGGTGATCGGCCATTGACTCTGTGTTTTGACTATCACCGGGTCCTCACCAGTATGAAATTCATATGGTCCCGTTTCTTATATATCTTTTAATGTCCACCCTTCTCAAGCTAGCAGCGGACTCAGATCAACGAAATCACTGCTAGCCACGGATGGGGTTGCATACTAGACTACCGATCGTTGTCATAATCATCATCGTACAGCGAGATACAGAGAAGTG